TCCGTAGTCTTTTATCAATCCTCAAACAGCAAATAACGATGCCCATTAATACTGCCAAACCATCGGCAAAATCCCACCTCATTGCCTTTCTTAAATGGTTTTCAGATGTACAATTTATTCAGAATGAAAGTCTTTCTGAACATAAAGTCTAACCTAAGCCCTGGAGGCTGTCTTGCTTTAATCCACACATGTGCAAGTTTAACTCTTTCAAGCCTGGCACATTTTTCAGATTCTGAGCAATAACCTTCATGCTGCAGCCGATGTGTTTGTTGATAGAGAGATCTAATACTTCGAGGTTTGGGACCACAGTTAGAATTTCAGCTGGGAAAAAAAAGAAAATAAAACCAGAATTGGTAATTGTCTGGAATATATACAGATGAACCTAGAAAAGTATTGCACCATGACAAACAGGAAGAGGTAGGCTGGGTTTACTATATGTGTGGTTTAGACTTACTAAGTTCCTGTTCTACCTAAAAAGTACAGCAAAACAAAGATTGGATAGGAATCAAGAAAAGCAGTGAAAGATCTGTTTGAAAATAAAGGTGAAAAAAATACACAGACAGGAAGAAAAATACAGGGGAATAAAAAGCAGGAATACAAAGAGAAATAAAAATTTCTAATGAAAATATACAGCACTGAGTGTTGCATATGAGCCATCTCTTGCCATGGATATGAGAGCACAGGGGCTTCTCTTTAAGGAGAAAGTATCTTTAAAACACAGAATCAGATCAAAAGACCACACAGGATTAAGCTACGGTGAGAGGAAAGAGGAGAGGGGTGCTCAGTGGTTGCCAGCTCAGCCTAAACTCCCATCCCTCAGGCCTTCTTTCCCATCCCATGGCTAACTACATACTCAGCTGCTTAATTTTAAGCAATCAATGTTGGAAATTCTGGCACACACAACTTGCTCAGGGTCTCAAAGGATCCAGTAACCCTGGAGTACTGAGGCAGCCAGACTGTGGTTTAGATCTAGCTGTTCTTCTCAACCTTACCTCAAATGATTAGAGAGAATAATTTTCCTCTTTGGAAGAAAGTGCATTAAATCCCAATACTGTGCGGTAAATACTGTCATAATGCAGAGCCTGAAATAAATTAACTTTGCACTAATACTGAGCTTAATATAGCCATAATCTGAGCCAAACAAGTTACATTTTTGCAGTCAGTCCCAGTCCAGCTATGTGGAAACACATACCAAGGGATTCTCCATCCTTTGCTGTCAGGTTACAGTCTGTAATTTTCAGAATTTTTAACTCGCATCCTTTGGGGAGTTTTTTTGTCAGGAGTGATAGTTTTCCACCTATGTTACTGTTCCATGATAAATCCAGTTCTTCAAGTTGAGGAACAATTTCAAATGCCTCTCCTGTAACAGAAGTCTAAGATAATTCATTCTAGGTATCAGTTTCAATGCAAGACAGAAATAGAGGTTTGGAATATATTAAAGAGGAAGGTTAGCTACTTAATTCTCAAATGATTATATTTTAAGTGGCTTGTCAGGAAAATTGGTGCATCTCATTAATTGCTGCTCCTGCAGCAATGTTGTATAAATTCTCACCTTGTCTAAGGAGCAATACATTGTCACAGCACACACAGACTTCTTGGCCATCATTGTAGACCTGTGCCAGGACCCAGAAAGTCTAGTCTACAGGGAAATCAATACAAGTGACAAGTCTGAATTTACTGTCCTGTATAGCTCTGCTCTATTTTATTTGGCAAATTTCCAACGTCCTCTGTACTGCATCCACAGGTCATTTTGGAGGAGATGAAAGAAGTCCTCTCGCAGCTATTTCTGAAATTTAAAAGTTTAATTTCTGACCTGAATTTCTTATTCACTTCATAAGGAATCTAGATGAGCATTGTTTTGACCCAAACTAACTTCCCCATGCTTTGAAGGCAGACAGCACCAATTTTGCTTACATTTAGGAAAATTTAGTCTTTTCCAGGCTTGACACACCTGCAAATGTGAACTGTGTTAGTGCTTCTTTGTAAAACTAACATCCCACTGCAAAATCCAGCTCCCTAACTTTCTTTGTAGAGGATGGAGGTGGATGTATATTTGCATAAATCCATGCCCAGGGAAGATCAATTAATCAGCTCATATGCAAATACAATTTCCAAGTGTCACACAAAAATTTTTGATCCAAAGTCTCATCATCAACCTAATATTTGAGAATTTTATTTTAATAATAAAACCCTTTAACGTCTGTGTGTTTTCATAATTAATTCTTCACAAAAGATTTATAATAGAAAAATAAGTCTTTCTGTTGCAGTAAGTGACTATCCAAGTTTGAGAGGAAAGGACATGCCTTAATTTTTATTTTTGCATTTATTTTAAATGATTGCCTCAGTCTTGACTACTGGGCCATGCACTGCAGTTTTGCCTCTGCAGCATAGCCTGTTTCTGTTTAACATCAGGACTAACAATCCAGTTGTATTTTCCACCCAGAAGATAAATAAAGGACTATAACTCCAGGAATGGTTTCCTACCACCTCTCCCAGTCACAGCTCTGAACAATCACATAGGAGAGGTTTGTATTATGGTTATAGTTGAGGCATTGATGTCTGAAAGAATGCACCAAGTCCACAAGTGGACATATTTCCACATATAGATGTAGACAGGGTCAAACAGGCAATATTGGTCTAAATAGGCCTGATATTTTCAAAAGTGCAGGTAAAATCAATGCAAACTCACTGTTGCTATTCCACCTGCCAAGGGCATCACATTTTCGCTGGAAATTCAAGTCCTGTGATCAGTTTTGTGTCTGTTTCAGCAGAGGCCAAGACAGAAGGGGGAAGGAAACAGCATAGAATCATTACAAAGAACCAGGCAGAATAAATCAATTGGAAATATAACCAATAAACCTCAAGAGAAAAAAAAAATATGAGAAAAGAGTTTGAAAAAGAATGAAATAATTTTTTAAAAATCTGATAGAAAATGAAACATAGATTTTACCCTCATCAGAAACAGGCCAATTATTTTCACCAACTTTTGTAGAGATGCATTTTTCCTCTGCAACAGATAGCATCACCCACTTTTGAGCTACCATCATTTCTGTAATATAATTTATGAACCTTTCCTGGAAAAAGCCTGGATATGAATGACATAAAACCCAGCTTTATAAGTTAGACCAGTTTTTAGAACTTGCAAAATCAGCAGTAGGTTTTTTAGAATTCCTATTTGATTAAGTTTGCCCTTCTTTTAGATACATAACAGACCCACCCCAGAGTAAACTCCAAGCTCAGAGGTAAGTGACTCAGCGTCAGAACCTGAGTGCATAACACCACCTTTAAAACCTTTAAATCTCACACTTTGCAGAAAGCAGGGCTGCAGGCACTCCAAGCAAAGAAGTACACAGAGGAATAAGCTTCTCCCAGACTAAGTTATAAAGCTCCAAGGCAGCACTACTTCTGGTTTTAAGCTTCCTCCAAAAGACCACCCATTTCTTTGTGCTGAGCAATGCATCTGTCCTAAAGCATGAAGACCTAAGCTGACCTTATTATGACTGTCTCAGTTTGTTTCAGTTCTTCTACCTACCATTAGATATGAAAGCTAGCCAAAAAAATACTAATCTAAATTGAAAACATGCTTTCCTGCAAATAGGACTGAATTCAGTTCCTTTCTGAATGTGAAACCTTCATGCCTTGAGGAATGAACTGGGCAGAGCTACTCAAATGTGGAAGATCACTCCCAAGCCCAGGTTCTTTCTATTGCTTCATAGCAGGAGTTTACATTGTCTAGTGTGGAAGCAGCAGGGGGGGGATGTTGGAAGAGATGAGTTGGATTACATTAGACCCAAGCTGTCTGGAAGGAAATGTAAATGAAATCCTGTACCTAAGGAGGTGACATCCTCAGCTGTCAGTCTGCAGTTGTTAAGTCGAAGGACTTTTAACAGATTTACATGATGAAGATGAACAGTGAGAGCTTTCAAAGTCCCACCAACACAACCATTCCAGGACAGGATGATCTCTTTCAACTCTGGCAGAAATGGCAGCAAAGAAGCTGTAAAAAGAAAAAAAAAAAAGATAAAAAAAAGAAAAGGAAAAGCATATTTTTGTTTGCATAATATCTGCACACCCTGGATGTCAATGCATCCTAATACAGAGATGCTTTCTACAACCAATATGGCATTATAAAGCCATGACAATTTGTACTTCAGTTTTCTTATTTGTAGTTTGTGTAAGGACATTCATCCACTTCACAGAACTGTATGATTTTTCTATTTTTATATATATATA